GAGGGAAAATCTACCTTGCCACGTCGGACAACAACTGAGCTCCACGTGGCCATCACTATGCCACGTCAGTCAGCAGACAGGCCTTGACGGCCAAAGGGTCAGCTTCCAAGGATGAGTGCTGTTCCAATGAGAGAAGGGTCGACCGCCCCAAGGTATTTTAGAATAATTCTTGAAGAAGCGCTCAACAACAGCAAGTCTGTAACCAGCAACATCCAAGCCGACACCCGATCCTTCAAACTGCCAAGACAGAGGCAGATCCCAAACCCCCATAAATCGGCGCTGTTATGGAAAAATGGGGAAACCCAGTGGAGATATAGAGGGTAGGACGTTCAGTCCTCCGACCTAGATCCCGAGAGTATCCCCTGAGGTGACATGAGGGAAATTCGTGGATTACTTGTGAGCTTAAACAAAGTTAATAGCATAGAAAATTATTACTAGCATATTAGCAGCCTAAAACGGACCAATAGAGATCATAGGAGATCCACAGTGCCGCAATAGTAGACAAAGTAGGTAGATGAACACTCCAAAAGGTACTGAAAAGCTACAGTCTAGGCGAGTAGGATAATAAGCTACTCAAGAGAAATCGTCAGATAACCATTTGTCTCGGTTTCCTCCAATGTGTAATCTATGAGATATAAAAGGGAAATGCCTTAGAGAGGAAGGATGATGAAAAAAATGGGAGAGTAAAACCTCTGTAATTGAAGAATAAAGAAAATAGTAAAAATTTTCTCAAAGTGGATGTAACTCTTTCATTAAGAGTAAATTACTATAATTTCTGGCATTTCTCTTATTTTTTGCATTCTCATTCATATTCAGAGCACTCTTAGGATCCATACATGACCAGTTGCATTATTCTAGTTGTTATCACGTGTTCTAGCCGGTAACCCGACTGATTACTGGACGGTAATCCGGTGTATTTCTGTTGATAAGATTTCACCGTCAACAAATACAATCAAAAACACAAAGTATTGACGATATATTTTTTTATATTAAAGGGTACCAAAATAATTTTATCCCAAAAAAAATATACACATGCTACTCTATCTTAAGACTGTCACTTTTATTTGAGGGTCTAAATCTCCTAAGGAATAAGGAGAATAAGGCCAAGTCGCCAACTTGCTGTCATTTACGTAACAGGGTCTAAATTTCTTAAGGAGTAAAGAGAATAAGGCCCTATCTTGGCTTGGGTCTCACGGTTTAGAGAGTCCAAATAGGAGAATATTCAAAAATGTCATAAACAAGATAACATTATGTTATTCCTCTTATCAATTTAAATCTATTATTTATGTCACTAAAAAATATCTGGTACGTTATTTTTCATAATTTTTAATACATTATTAGTTTATATTTCATATTCTATAGGTTATTTTTCATATTCTATATATTGTTTTTTTTTTTTTTTGTAGTAGTGTAAAGAATTTTTTTATAGAACAATTTTTTTAATTAATAAATTCCCTCTCTCTCCTCATTTCTCTCTCTCAAGTCAGTTTACTCTTTAGAACACTTCCTCGAACAATTGACAATCAAAAACAAACTTAACACCAACAAAAAATCCAACAAATTTTAAGGCATTATTCATTTCACTTGATTTGAGTTTTTAATTTTAGATTTTTATAGTTAAAAACTTTAAAAATATCACATTTAATTTTTTTGTTATAGTTAAAAATTTTTAAAAAATATTACATCTAATTTTTTTTACTATACTCTTAAAAAATATCATATCTCGTCTCAAATTAAAAATTAAAATCTAAAAAGCCAACAAAGCCTAATTATATAAAATTAATTATATATAAAATCCCATCACTCATAAAATCGTGTGGGTCCCACCTTACATGCGTAACATGAATTGGAGTGCTCGTTATATAAACACCAACCGCTAATACATGTGACCATGGCGGATCAGAAAGAACAAATTATATAAATGAAGTAATTATAGGAGAACTCAGGTAATATTACTTTTCAGCGTCATACACGGCTTAAGATCTCGCAACGCGCAAGGGATGAACTCCGGCGCGAACTCCGTGAACTCTGGCGCCTTAGGGATACACTCCAGCAATAAAGACTTGCAACCTTCTGAGCATGAACTATATATAGACTCTGCAAATCGTCGGAATTTGCAAAGATCGTGTTGCAACGATCGTGGTAGATCCGACCATTACCGGAGAAGACGAGTTGCAGTAGCGAAGAAGACGAAGGAGGCTCGTGCCGATATGTTCGACATATGACCGGACTTTGACGAAGGCGACAATGAGCTTTGGTTGCCGGCGCGATTGACGAGGGTGAGAAGAGGGAGAGAAAGACAGAGAGAGACAGAAGATATTGAGAGAGTGAGAGACAGAAAAGAGAGGAGAAAGAAAATAATAAAATAAAAAATAAATCAGTGGGTATCAAATTTTTTTTTTTCAATGGCAGAAATAATAAGATTATTACAAATAATGGTGGATCACTTGGGTGACCTTTAGTTCATATGTTTACAATCATAATTCATAATTTTTATTTTTAAAATTTAAATTTTTTATGAAAAAAAATACTGTAACGAATTAAAAATTATGATCCAGAACTATACTATAACCCTCGAAACAAACGGAACAGTATTTTCTCATCGGGCAATTTTGAAAATATCTTTTAAAATGGAACCTCTTTTATTTTTATCTCTTAATATTAACTTATATATTTATACTTTTTAAATTAAAATTAGTGAAAAAATAATTTTTTTAAAATCAGTATGTGGATGTAAAATTTGTAATTTTCTCTTCCTCTTCATCCAAATAAATCCAAACCTGGGCTCCAGGATCCTGGCCCATGTCCAAGCAAACCCAACCCGTTCGCTATATGGAGCTTGTTTTGATAAGTAACGGATTTTATATAATAATCACATTAGATGGCCAAACCGTAGAGTATAATAACATAATTACTCCAATAAATGCAGAACCTATAATGGCATCACATGAAAAAGGAATCTAACCAACACACATATCCCTCGTTCGAGGATCATGAATTGACCACCAAAATGAGATGATTAATTATTTAAACAAACCAATTTGGAAAGGATCATAAGTCATAAAAATTGGTCAAACAAAAAGATACTGGCCATTGTTTTTCTTTAAAACAAACATATATCCCCTTATTTGGTCATTTTGAGTATATTTTTCCCCTTCTACAAACTCAGAAAACGACCATTTAACAGAATGCGGTCAAATTACAAGCTCAGAAAACGACCATTTAAATCCCAATTACAGCTCAAAAAGTGTAATTACGTCCAGTTCATTTAAACTTTTTAATTAGAGAAACTTGTAAAACTAAATAACTGGGTTATTAAAAGTAACTCTAACCATACTAACTATTTCATCTTTTTAGTTAAAATAGTTAAAAATTTAGCCCTTTTTTTAATTTTTCTAAACTTCAATCATTAATAAAATTATTAACTATTTTGGAGAACCCACTTCATACTAATTAAATTAAATTAGCATGAAGCGGTTAACTATTTCATTTTTTACATTATTGTATTCCCTCAACCGTATTAATAAATGCACTCTGAACGGGTTTTTTTTTTCATCTTCAAAATTACACCAATTAATCAACTTAATGTCCCTAACGGTCATTTCTCAATTTTGTCTTCTTCCGAAAGCACTATCCATCTCTCTCTCTTTATTGTTATTTTATCTGTTTACGGATTATGAAAAAGATTGGCCTGTTCAGTTTGTTGATTCGAGTTTTTAATTTGAGTTGAGATGTGATTTTATGTGAGAATTTTTTACTGTAATAAAAAATTTAAATATGATTATTTCTGAGAACTTTTTACTATAGCAAAACTCGAATTCTAAACTCGAATCGACGAAATGAACTAATCTTCTCCGTGAAGATGTAGAAATCAACCATCAATTATTGACAGATCAAAATCCTAGCTAATCCACGTTACCATCTCAAATTCTTTCTCAAACCGATACCACAACCAAGAAACCTCAAAGGTCCCGCAACTTTTCAGTTGAAGAAGGCTGCCTTCTCGTATCTGCATGGCTTAACATCCAGTGTTGATGCAATACAAGGTAATGATAAAAAAATCTGTGAAATATTGGCAAAGAATTTGCGATTACTTTCATCAGCACAAGCATTTCACATCTGAACGCACTGCGAATTTCACTAATGCACGGTTGACCTTGGCTGTAGTACAATCATGTAATGCGATTGTGTAATAAAATTAGTAGCTTTTTCATTAAGAGATCCTGGTAATCCAAAGAATGCATGCCATATCCAAAGATCATATGAAGCCACGGCTTCCAAAATAATTGTTGGCTCATGGATGTGACCAGAATACATACCTTGCCATGCAACAGGACAATTCTTCCACTTCCAATGCATACAGTAAATGCTTCCAAACATTCCAGGAATTCCACGAGCACCATTAATCTTCAGCAATCTAGCAACATCATTAAATTGTTTGGAGATCTCAAATACTCATCCCCAAACACTGCAGTAATTGCTTTGACAAGTTTTTTAAGACTCTCTATGGCAGTGCTTTTGCCAATCCGCACATACTCATCTACAGAATCTGCTGATAATCCATAAGCAAGCATCCTGAAAGCAGCTGAAATTTTTTGAAGAGATGACAAACCGACAATTCCACAAGCACCCTTTCTTTTTTTTTTGACAAAGTACGGATAATAAGCTTCCACGGGATGTTGAATGCGAAAAAAAAAAAGTGCGCGATTCATTCGAAACCTCCTCCGAAATAAACGAGGACCAAATGTCAGTGTTTGAGCAAAATAATCAAGATAAAGTCTGTCACTACCCTGAACTCTATCACGTTGAATAACAGCGTGGTCTGGAATAGAACCACGATGACGTGAAGTTCGACCCTCGTTCGCCGTTTCTTCTTCTTCAATGATTGTTATTGCTAACAAATGAAACTCATCGTCGGAATCATCTTCCAAAAGCATATTGACTTACCGATCACGAGCCATAACTATTGATAATATAGGTTGTCGATAAATAAAATTTAGATGGGTGAACATGAGCAGATAAGGTAATGTTATTTACAGAGGTTGAAATATGGCCGTTGGAAATATAACTTCTGAAACTAAAATAATTCTTTATATTTTAAAATCAATAAATATTAAAATAATATATATTTAGGCCTCGTTCATTTCACCGATTCGAGTTTTCAGTTTTAGGTTTCTACATTAAAACGTTCTCATAAAATGTCACATCTAACTTTTTCTGCTACAGTGAAAAGCTCTCAGAAAATATCACATCTCAACTCAAATTGAAAATTCGAATCCGCAAAGTGAACGAGACTTTAGTTAAAATAAAAAGTGTGGTGGGAGTGACTCATAAAAAATTACTAGCTAAAATTAGTTATTTTAGTTAAAATTTAACTAAAATTTAAAGAGTCATTTGAAGATGGCATATATTGTTTAATTCTTTCATTTCTCGAACGTCGCCCGATTAAATAGTTTTTTGAGAAAAATCCTGCACATTATGTAATGAAACTAAGTAGGAGCTAATTATTAAAATGGGTATTTGCATGCATGTCAAAATTTCTTAACTGGTTGGCCTACTTGTGTGCTATTTATTTTTTCAGTTCATTCCCTCTTTTTGCGACATATATGCGTTTATTAAATTTGACATTTTGAGAATGAGAGATCCTAGCCTGAGAATGTGTAAACAGTCAAATCTATGTAAAACTGATTATTTATGATAATATAACAAAGTTTTACAAGACTTAGACATTACAAAACGAAGGAAGATTTCATTTCTGTGTAACAAGGTTCCAATTAAATCCCTACGGGTTTTTAACACAATTATGCGCTGAATTTGTCGTGGTTTAACAAATTACTCTATAAAAATTTTAATTTTAACACTCAATTCCCTAAACTTGCAAAGTTGTGGCAATGTGCCCCATTATACTAAATTTGTTCAAATTTATTGTTTGAACAATTGAAAGATTTGTTTTACATTTGAATTATGATGTTGAAATTTTTGATTGAACATGTTCTTTCGATACTAATTTAACACAATTATGGATAAAATGAAGCATATTACAACAAATTTATAAGTTGAGGTGACAACTTAATAAAATTAAAAGTTTATCGGACAAGGCTGTACAAACTTAAGAGGTAAATAAGTAAAAAACCCAATCTGTGCCATATATATGTATGTACCCTTTTTTTTAATAGAATGTATGTATGTATGTATATTCATGTATAAAAGAAAAGGAAAAAAAAAATAAAACGGGCCATCATCACATGGGACTGAGAATCTTCAGCTTAATCCAAGATTTAGATATAACATATACAATATAATAAAAAAAATACTAAATGTTTACAAATTTCATTCTGTCCATAAACTTCAGACCACATGGTTGCCAAAGGGGGAAAAATAAAGTCTGACAACTCTAAGTTATTTTCCAAATTGATGGCCTTATGCGAATCTGACTAGTCAGATATTTTCCAACTTATTACATAGTACTTTTGTTAGTTCAACGAAGTTAAAAACGAAAAATAAAAAAGGGAGCTTTTTAACTTTGAAATTGTCTCCAATGCCATGCTAATTAATGTGTCAATTATAAATATAATATTTAAGTGTAAAAAATACTTTCCAATACAATGCTATTTATTTTGTCAAATTTCTAATATGCTATATTTTGTATTAAATTTCTCACTAAATATAGTATATGAAAAATTTAGCATTTGATTATTATTGATTAAAATATTTACTTTTTCCTTGTAATCATGCGACTTTTACATTTTCTAATTATTTTAAAAATAAAATTTACTTTTACAACTTTCAAAGCTTAATAATTATAAGAAAAAGTAGATTTAACATTTTAAATAACATTATGTATTGAAACAAAAATAAAAATAACATACTGTATCATACTTTTTAATGTTAAATATATAATTGACATTAGCGTTTACATTGAATATGGTCTTTGGTAAAATATATCCCCTAAGGCAAACAATGCATGCATATTGGTGGGGTTGGCCACCTTTAGCATTCTTCTTTGACCCGTTTAAATGTAAAATTAGATAGAAAGGCCGCCCTTTAATTGCAAGCACAAAAATACCACGAATTTTTCATTGAGCTCCGAGGGTTTTTCTTCTTTTCTTATAATAATAATAATAATAATAATAATAATAATAATAATATTATTATTATTATATTTTTTATGGCATTCCTAAAGATTCTCTTTGAATTATATTCATAAACATCAATCTCATATTTATTAGGATTATTGATTGTGTAGGAGTACATAACTATTGGTAACTTCTTAAATAAAGGTCACCACAGAATATTTATGTCTCTATTTTCTATCTGATAGTTTCCATATTATTCTTGCTCTCCCTACTAAGAGGGATTTTGAGCCATTGAAATTTGTGGTTGTTCAAATAACACTCGTACACTGTATGCATCAAGACTGTGATTAGATCGTCATTTAGGAGTAACATGAAGTTACCGTGGTTGATTCCAAACTAATAACAACAATAACAACAACAATAATAATAATAATAATAATAATAATAATAATAATAATTATTATTATTATTATTATTATTATTATTATTATTATTGTTGTTGTTATTGTTGTTATTAGTTTGGAATCAACCACGGTAACTTCATGTTACTCCTAAATGACGATCTAATCACAGTCTTGATGCATACAGTGTACGAGTGTTATTTGAACAACCACAAATTTCAATGGCTCAAAATCCCTCTTAGTAGGGAGAGCAAGAATAATATGGAAACTATCAGATAGAAAATAGAGACATAAATATTCTGTGGTGACCTTTATTTAAGAAGTTACCAATAGTTATGTACTCCTACACAATCAATAATCCTAATAAATATGAGATTGATGTTTATGAATATAATTCAAAGAGAATCTGGCATGGGAAAATTTTTTTTTTTTATCAACCAAAAAAAAAAAAAAAAAAAGAGTAGAACTCTGCTACTCAAGAGAACCATTCAAAAGTCAATAAAATGTGTTCTGCTGAAATTGGCCTGCATCACTTGAGTAATATATTATTAAATTATCATCAGTAATCTACTAGGTTATATCACCAAAATCAAAGAGTAACACTGGTCGCCGCTGGTGACTGATTGCCAGAGTATTTTACTAGATTACCACTGCAAATCTATTGAACTATGTAGTCTTATTGGTTGTTTTGCTTTTGCTTTTTTGGTGGAGTAGGCTTCTAAGAAACTTATTTCTTTTTTCTATGATTTTTTTTTTATGAGAATGATTTTTTCTTTTTCGAAACAAAAAGAAATGTGCGAAAGGACTAAATAATACTTAAATTAATTTATTTTTTGTTAATACAATTATATGTAATATATTTATATAAAAATGAGTTTTGAATGATTACCATTAAATATAGAAATTCAATGAATCTAATTTAGTTAATTTTTATAAATTTTTTTTGGTCAATTATCTAATTTATTTCAATTGTCAAATCAATATTTTAAAGTTAAAATAATACTACTCATTGATCAATAAATACTCGAATAACTGTTAAAACCACACCCATAATGGATATATGTGTAATTCATTGATCATAAGAGCAATATAGAATTTTTAAAAAAATTACATTTATGAAACATTGGCTTAGTTCTTTGTTCCTTTATATTCTCATTATATATATATTTGAAATATACTCTATCAATATTTTATATTACAATAGAAACATACAATATAATTAAATTCAAATGATCTTATTGAATCATAAGATTATTCTTGTCACATGACATGAGGGGATTAAAGAATAGAGACGTGAGTTCTGAACTTTTCCTTTTAAAGTAGCTATTCATTTATTTTTATGTAGTTTTCTTTTGTGTCAAAAAAACGATGGATAATCTATTTTGCAGATATATTCGTACTTTATAGATATTGGTTGAAAAGTATCAATATTTCTCGAAGACTCGAAGGAATAAAAATATCTTTACCCTCATTTGTGTTGAGGATTTCGACATCATTATTATAGAAAACGTCGATGCGAGTATCTCTATATGCAGTTCCTTGCTTGGAAATTACTTGTTGCGTTGGAAATTAACAAAATCAGCATATCAGCTTTTTTTTTTTTTTTTTTTTTGTCACATAAGCATGTCAGCTTGTTATTTAACATAGAATTTTCTATTTAAAAAAAAAAAAAAAACATAGAATTTGCTTTATCTTTTTAAACAATCATTTTCTTTGAATTACTAGTCTTGATTCGACCATCTTTTCCAACCCATAGGATTCAGAGAATATTGATCTTGGACTTCCTTTATTAAGGAATGTTGGACTTCTGTGGAGGTTTTTCTCCTTGTTGCAACTCGTTATTAAGAAAAATTTGACAATTGCACTTTAAATTTTAAAGAAATTGTTTTCTTGCATAATCGAGTCCGAACTTTTAAATTTGATAATTGCACTTTAAATTAGTATCAATTGAGATACAATAATTAAGAAATACCATTAAATTGACAGTTTAAAATACAAAATTCTCACCTAAAAGAAAAAGATCATCATTTTTAAAAATATATCACGTATAAATCTCATGTATTAAACTTAAATTGTTATTATTATGAAATATTTAGATGTAAGTTTTTAAAATAAAAAAATTTAGAGTTTTTCATGTTAAAGACGATAATTTGAGATGTAACAGTGTAATTTACTTAAAAAAAAGAAAAAGAAAAGAGCAATAGATAAAAAAAGGGAAATTATATCAGGAATAAGGAAAAGATCAAAATTCACAGAGAAGACCAGTCAACTTGGAATCCGCCCTAGTTTTCAACGTTTCATATTGCATAAACACACGGAAAATAAATAAATAGAAATAAAAAATAAATAAACAACGCGTTTTTAGCCATTATTACAGTCAAAAGCTGCCTTTCAGAGAACAAGAACAAGAACAAAACATTGACAACAACTCCCCCCACTATTAAAAAAAAAAAAAAGTCCAAGCTTCACCACTCCACTATTCAACGCCAAATTAAAACCCAAAAACAAAAAATATAAAAAATACATAATAATAATACACAACCAAAAAATAAAAATAAAAAAAAAACGAGATACAAAACCACATTTGTGATTCTTGAGCCGAAAAAAAAAAAAAAAACGAAGAAATGAAATGAAATCTGGAGGCATTTGATTTGAGCTTGTTGGCGTTTTCTTCTTCTTCTTCTTCTTCCATGGAGAAGGTCGTCGGCCGCTCTGCCGACGGCGCTCTGCAACTCAATCCAGGCTCTCGGAAGAGGCTTCGACGTCACCTCCGATATTCGCCTTCTCTACTGCAAAGGCGCTCATGGCTCCAGGCTTGTGCAGATTGACGAGGCTCGGACCAGAGATCTCCCTCTCTCCGGCGGTCTTCTTCTGCCGAATGTCTCCGTCGATATCGATTGCTCTCCGCAGGAAACAAGAACCGAGAGAGTTCCCGTTTGCTCCTTCCATGTGGTAACTGCTTGTGATTCTGTCGAGATTGAATTTTCAAGATAATTTGGTGATGTTGATTGGGGAATTTTTGCTCTCTTTATTGCGTTTCGAGGCTTCGACTTCGGATGATAAGATGTTTGATGTCTCGCTTATTTCTAGAAGCTGTTGTGTCGATTAAATGGTCTTTGATAACGTTAATTCTTAATTAGAAATTCTGAAAAGTACTATCTTCTTGAGATTAATATACTTACTAGTAGTCTTTTTGTTGTCAATGTTTTATGCCAGTTTCTTTTCTTGATTGTTTTTGTGAAAGTCTCTGCTTTTGATACTCTAGGTTGAAATAGGAATACCAAATGGTAAAACAAACTATATATTAGATCCTCAGTTGTTGAGTCCGTACGACTTACTAGTTTCAGACAAATAGGCTATGAACTTTGGTGATAGAATGGAGTTTAAGAATGCGCTTTGAGAGTACCCAATATGTTTCAATGTGTGTCCTGGCCAAGTTTTGGGCTTTATAAGGTCGATATTGTTTGTTAGTATCGTTTTCAAAGGTTGAGATATTACAATTAGTAAGTATTTTTGTTTGCCCTGGTCTTTTGGTCGATATTGTTTGTTAGTATCGTTTTTAAAGGTTGAGATATTACAATTAGTAAGTATTTTTGTTTGCCCTGGTCTTTTGGAGAAGTCTTTTGGAAATGCTTTTGAGGTTTTATTCGATAGGGATGTAGATTTATTAGCCCTATTGGGGCTAAATGAGAATGGTGATAGACAAGCAATTGTGTAGAGAAGGAAGAGATAAGGCTGAATTTGCAAATCTGTATTCTATCTGGTTTCAGCTACCTAATGCATCAAAGAAATTAGGATGCATTCTTGATGAAGTCTTCTAAAGTTTCTGGCATTGCTGTTTTTGAAAAGTTCATGTGCTTTGTATCACCCGGTCCTAGTTTTATTATCTTGCAGACTTTTGCTATCGGAATGCAAATGTTGCACGTTGTTTTACCTAATTGTTGAACCAACATTTTTGTGACTTTATTCCTTTGGCGTTTGAATGACAGATGGCAGAAATCTTTAATAAGAGATCTGGTATATCAGGCATTATTCCCCTTGGAAGCTTTAATTCCATGTTCAATTTCACCGGCTCTTGGCAAGTTGATGCAGCAGTTACCAAATCACTTGCAATGGTTGGATACCTAATTCCTCTGTATAAAGTTAAACTAGAAAAGCAAAATTTAGTCTTGCATGAAGAAGTCAAGCATGCTGTTCCGCACACTTGGGATCCTGCATCATTGGCAAGGTGAGAATTTTTCATTCATGTTTCAAAATACGTTGGCTGCGAAATATGTCTTTTCGAACCTTAATACCTTAAACGAGATATTTAATGTTGACTGAATTAGTGGGATACTATCTCTCAATAAGTTAAGATGCGCTATTATGTTAGCTAATAGACCGCCAAGAGGACCTATGTTTTAACAGCACCAAATACCAAATAATAAATATATCAAGTTCGTATGTATTGCTATATAAAATGTAGTTTGTGATGTATTATCTGCACATATTTTTACTTTTAGATTCTAGTAAAAGGCTATAGATTATAGAAGACAAACTAAATATACCTCAGAAAATGGCGGAGACCACCCCCCTGAATGCAGTTCTTATTTTAACATGTTCAAGCGTCATATTATGGACTTTGTTTCCCTATTTTATCTTGTAGCAGCGATCTAATTCAGCGGTCTTTGATATGTAAATTTATTTGCTATGAATGAGGACGGGCTGACAAAAATTTTCCACTTTTTTTTTCCTATATTATTTTTCAGTTTCATTGAAAATTTTGGTACTCATGTTGTTACGTCTGCAACTATTGGTGGAAGAGATGTGGTTTACATCAGGCAACACCAGTCATCTCCTTTGTCAGCAATGGACATTGAGAATTATGTGAATGACATGGGTGATCATAGGTTTCAGGACTCCACAAGCCAGTCAAGCGCTGGCCCCTTAAAGTACAAAGATAAGGTTCGGGTGACAGTACAATTTTACATCAATTTTTTTCTTTCGGAAGAAAACAAAATCTTATATTAATAAGTTATTCAATTTCTCAAATTTTCATCACTTTCTAAGTTCTGCGTGCTAATTGCATCATCTGCCTCTTTCTTGAAATAGTTTTGAGGATATCAATAGGTTTTTGTTTAGCTTTTTCTGTAAAGAAAAAAAATATCTGCTTTCACACAGTTACTTTCCATTCAGAATTCAATTTTCCGCTGCAGGGTGTAACAGTTATTTTTAGAAGACGAGGTGGGGATGATCTTGAGCAAAGTCATGCCAAGTGGGCAGAGACAGTAAGATTAGCACCAGATGTGATCAACATGACGTTTACTCCCATTGTTTCTTTACTTGAAGGAGTACCTGGAATAAAGCATTTAGCCCGTGCAATTGACTTATATTTGGAGTGTAAGATTAATTTATAATTTGCTTCTACTGAAGATACATATTGTCCACATATGATGATGCTAATATGTTTTTTTTTGCCCCCTATATTCTATATTACATACCTGAGGTTTTCTAGGGGTTTACAATTGGTTGATTTTAGCTGCCCTGGGAAAAGTGTCAACTTGATATATGAACAATCATGTTCATCGATCAACCAACTATCGTCTAGTAAATAATGTTTCTTGGTTGCTTTACCACATGGGGTTTAAAAGAAAAAAGTATATATACGATCATTTTTTTCACAGAGCTGATTTAGATGGAGCCTTTGTTGCCAAACTGTTCATTTCAACTTGTCGTTGGAATATTTCCTTCTTGATAGGTGAAAACTAAAACATTTGACTGAGACTCAACGAACCTTAATAATACCTACTTTGATTTTTCATTCTTGAATAGTTTGCCCTTTTTTAAATCCTCCTGACATGTTTTGCTTTATGAGTATATTGTGTGCTTGGCATATTCTAGTCTTGTATACTTCCTCTTAATGATCTTTCTACTGCAATGTAGTGTAGTGTTCTGGCTATTGTAGATGATTTTCTGACATTTTTATTCAATTGTGATTGTTTTAATCAGACAAGCCACCTATTGAAGATCTGCAGTATTTCTTGGATTTTCAAATTGCACGAGCTTGGGCCCCTGAGGTGAATAATCTACAGAGAAAGGAACCCGTGTGTTCATCTCTTCAGTTCAGCTTGATGGGTCCAAAGCTTTATGTTAGCCCGGATCAGGTATTTCTCATGGTTTAAGGACTCCTTTTATACAAGTAATACTAACCATACTGTCATTGCATGTCCGTGTGTGTGTGAGAGAGAGAGGGGGGGGATGGCGTGGTGTGGAATTCGGAGTATGTTACTGTGGCAAAAGGGGAATTATAAACAAAAGGAAACCTCAAACTAAGAACTGAGAGCTCAACAGTCAACAGCATATAGTACGCAATTTTAGATTTAGGAGTTAATAATGCCTAGGAAATAGATAATTGCAAAGCTATCTCGTTACAGAACTCATAAATAAGTGCAAATCTACAAAGCGTAGATGTTCAGCCTTCATGATTTTCTCCATCAAAGAATGTATCACCTTTTGCTGTATCTCAAGCCTCTTGGTTGAACCATAATTGTTTCAGCTAAGTCAAAAACTGTCCATGTTTTTACAGGTAACTGTAGGCCGCAAGCCTGTCACTGGTCTTAGACTTGGCCTTGAGGGCATCAAGCAAAACCGGCTTTCCGTACATTTGCAGCATTTAGTGTCTCTTCCTAAAATCCTTCAACCTCACTGGGACATTCACGTGGCCATCGGTGCCCCTAGATGGCATGGTCCAGAGGAGCAAGATAGCCGTTGGTTTGAACCAATTAAGTGGAAGAACTTCTCCCATGTAAGCACTGCGCCAATAGAGTACACAGATACTTGCATAGGAGACCTTTCAGGTGTTCATATTGTCACCGGAGCTCAACTTGGTGTCTGGGATTTCGGCGCCAAAAATGTCTTGCACCTCAAACTTCTCTTCTCCAAAGTTCCAGGTTGCACAATAAGGCGGTCTGTTTGGGATCACAACCCTTCCACCGCATCTTCCGTGCAAAAGCCCGATGGCTCTTCTTCATCATATGTAAACAGCAGAACCCCGGACGATAAAAAGGAGGATAGCTCAACCCAAACCGGGAAATTAGCGAAAATTGTAGACATGACGGAAATGTTAAAGGGTCCGCAGGACATTCCAGGTCATTGGTTGGTCACGGGTGCCAAGCTCGGAGTAGACAAGGGAAAGATTGTATTGAGAGTGAAATATTCCTTGCTGAATTATTGATCATCTTTTGTGCTTTGTAATTTTAGGCTTTCCCACTAGGAATTTAGTTGAGCATTCTTTGCACAGCCTGTCCCTGTTATTTTGTTTTGTACATTTTGTTCTTTTTTCTTGTGAAGTCATCTCGGTTGCTAGTCACAATCATTATTTGTCTGAGAGGTCTTTTTTTTTTTTCTTTACAAAATTTATTTTACATAATTTGTTCATCACAAAACAAGATTATGCTTCTGAGTAATAATAGATTTGTCTTAGTTTATATATATACATCAATGATTCTCTGTTTCTAGACTGATAAACACTTATCTCTACGGGTAAAATTGGCGATGAAGGCTTCCTGTTTTCCTGTCTGTAGCTTTCTTAAGATTGTCAAATTTATCCATAATTCGCGTACAAAACTTTTGTGCAAAGACATTTATGTTGTCGAATAATAAATGGATTTGGAATAATTAATATATAAATAAGAACGAAGTAGTCCCTCAAAAAAAAAAAAAAAAAAAAAAACGTAGTAAAATTTCCCCAATGTGACGACTGCGTGTTCATTTGCTGATTGCTTTGTAACGTCTGTTTCCAAAAGGAAATATCCAATAACTTCATCAGAAAACTTGCTTTGGCTTCACTATTAAAACTCTAGAACACGCCAATTAAGAATAGAGCTTTGTCATTAGTAGTTTTTTATTGACAATTTTTGTCGTTATCAATATTACTCATATCTTACTATTTATTATTATAAATATTATGCTAATAAATGCAAAATGTCCTAGTTTTAGAAAGATCAGTAGTCCCCAACGCCGGCAGACATTACGCCCATAATGCGTCTTTCAGGAGACATCCAACTAACAAAATGTTCACTCTTCTGTCGATTAGTCCGATGTTCAAATCCTCATACTAAAAACCAAAAAGAAGAGGGAACAAAAAGATCCTCCGACCCAATTATCTGATCAGATCAGATTCCAAGCTGAGGTTTTTGGTTTAATTGTTCGAGGCGCAAGTGAGTATTCACAATGAGACAAATTGTGACTGCAGCCTTAATACAGTGTAGCTATCAATAATGAGTGGGTGAAAATCACTAACGTCTTGTTATTTTTCTTCTTGCTCTTTTCTCATTATCTTTTTGCCAGAAGCATTATAAAATTACTTGCAAGAGTGTATTCCCTAGAGTGAACCAAACCAATATGGCTTAGAACATCATGTACGTCGTCCAAACAGTTAAGCCGGCTTACTTAGTCAAACTACTTCTTATGTCGGAACAAGACAAACAAATCGGAGTCTAAATCGGAATAGTATTACATTAGAGCATATCGTTAAATTAGTGTATCAACGCTAAATTTTAGCATCTGAGCAGAAATATTATTCTTCAATACAGTGTTACTTTTTGTGCCAAATTGTTGTATGCTATACTTACTACCAAGTATAACATCTAGCAAATTTGACGTTTTATTGTTGTTAGCTTATATATTTAGAGCATTATTAATGTAATGTTATGATTTATGCGTCAATGACAAATTTCACATTTGAGTGTAAAAAATACTCACCAATGCAGTGTTGTTTATCGTGCTAAATTTGTCAAATGCTATACTTTACGGTAAATTTACCACTGTATGACAAATTTAATATTTGATTACTATTAGTAGCTATATAATTTACCTTTTCATTTAATTATTGCAACATAAAACATTTTTAAATTGTTTTAGAATTAAAAGTTTATTTTACTTTTAAAGTTTAATGATTATGGTAAAACATAGATTTAACATTTGAAATAACACTGTGTATTAGAGTAAAAATTAAAATAACATATTAAATATGTTATATTTACAAATTTTGATGCTAAATAGTCTTTGGAATTAGTATCTATATTGAAAACGGTCTTAATAGTTGGAACCAAACTTATATAAGGGATGCATATACGACTTATATATGACACTTGTAACATTAATATGGTGCTAAGTAGCACTAGTAGAGTTCTCTATTAGGGGTGGCAATTCGTATTACGTGCCGTGTTTGTGTCGTGTTTTGATCGTTTCTTTTTAAATTTACAGTCAACTCGAACATGACCCATGACACGAAATTTTTTAAAAACCGTAACACGAACATGATACGACCACTTTACGGGTTGACACGACACGAAAATGACCCGTGCCACGAAATTGACTCGTGAATCCGAAATTGACACGAAAATTGTATACTTTTATTTAGTTTTTTACATATTAGAAATAACTTAAAATTCATAACACACTAAAATACAATAACATCTATTGAAATTAAGCAAATAATAATATAAGATTTTGAGTATAACTATCATGATATCACAAGTTCATAATAAAATAAAAAATATGTAATGAAAAATATATGTATTTTTTAGTTTTTTACGAGTTTCGTGTCGTGTTCAGGTTAAGCGGGTCTAACCTAAAATTGACTCGTATTTTTCATATCAATTTCAGGTTGACCTAATTCTGACCTTAACATCTTTTTTCTCAACCCTAACCCATGAAATTCGTGTCGTTTTCAAATCGTATTATCATGTCGTGACCCATATTACCGGCCCTACTCTCTACTAGTTCCGGTAAACAAAGGCAAATCAATCGAAGATTGTAGTACAACACCTGATGTATACACTTATCACGAGAAAAGCATTAAGGGAATATTGTCACACTTGCAATAATATATAATAGAGCTTAGTATTCATGATTCAACTACTTCGTTAGCATTTTTCTCTATACTACACAAAATTCAACTTTATGAGGTCAATTTTTCCTTTTCTTAAAGAAAGAAAAAAAAAAAGAAAAGAGGTTCGAGTGGGCAATTACTGATAACAAGGAAAATTATTACATCCCAATTCTGACTCCCACAAGAATTAATTAATACTATCGCAAACCTATCAAAGACATCCACACCATAGAAAGTCTAAGTGTTGAATTAATGCACCGAAGCAGTCAAATTTTATGTGCAAAACAATGTGAATACTGCTTGAGCCTTGAGTAACATGTCCTAATTCAAGTGTATGTCAGCCTTCTTTTTTAATTTCCCCTAATTATCGACAACATATCAATGTGTCCTTTTCTCTTGTGTATGTTCGGACCCACAAAAGGAAAACAAACCTATAATTTGCCTAAAAACCGTAAATAAAAAATCTCATTATAGAGACATTTGCATAACAAACATTTATGTGACTTTCTGAAGCTTTTTCAGACTCATATCATGACAATATAGCGTCTATATAATACCAAGTGCCGAATGTGATTGCTACTACGAGGCACATGCTTGTGTCCAAAAGCAAAGTGAAGACAAATTTTTTAGGAACACTTCTTAATTTTGGTGCATATCCGATGATGCTATTCTATACACTGTTTTAATGCTTATCTCAGTTACATATAGAAATCAGATAGAGAATATAAAAAAGTAGTGTTAAAGACGCTGATTCTAATATGAGTTTTTATGCCAATTTTGAGTTGATATTTTCTTATTAGCAAATAATCATATATTATCTCTTATTATTAATTAATGAAACAATCTCTGATAACTGATGATAACTCAAATTAGGTAAAAAAAAAAAGAAAAAGGAAATATAGTCTCGTATCCCTAATATTATTTATATATAAACAACAAAAGTAAATCTTTCTCACTCTTCACAAATTAAAAACTTTCTTTCTTACTCTTCACAAATTAAAAACTTGTAGGATGATATATAATATAAGGTTCCCTAACACATGCATGGTATCATCATTGTCGCATTTTTGTTTTGTTTTGTTTTGTCTCATATTATTTTTGTTTTTGTTTTGTTTTTATTTTTTATTAATTAGGCATCATTCAGTTTATTGATTTGAATTTTTAATACGATGTGATTTTATATGAGAGCTTTTAATTATAGTAAAAAAGTTAGATGTGATTTTTTGTGAGAGTTTTTAACTGTAGCAAAACTGAAATTAAAAACTCGAATCGGTAAAATGAACGGGGAATATTTTACGCACTTTTACCCTATAATTATTAATTCAAAGTCAGATGGCATTAACGTATGTGTTACCAATACCGGCTCTTTTTTTTTTTTCTTTTCATTTCCTTTTCTTTTCTATTATGAAAAGAAGAAGAAGAACAGTCGGTATTGGTACACAAATTCAAGGGCGGGAAAGAAAAGAGACCTAGAAAGCTCTCTGTTGATAAATGTTGGTTGTGCACTTGGCAAGCAGTACAGAAAATTGAAATTCTAATTAATTTAAGTCCCGTTCATTTCACCGATTCGAGTTTAAAATTTAAGTTTTGCTACGGTAAAAAACTCGTAGAAACAGTCACATTTGACTCTTTTGCTACAGTAAAAAGCTCTCACATAAAATCACATATAAACTCGAATTAAAAACTCGAATCAGCGAACTAAATGACCTTAGAGTCCAATCAAGAGGTTAAAGTCGTCTCCCTCTTTGTTGGAGGCTAATTATTTTCAAGCCAATTACATGTAAAGTACTCAACGTCAACACTTTTGCAAATAATCATGATGTTTTATTTTATGTGGAAAATAAATTCTTTGTGCATATATAAATGTTCTTGGTCTTTTAAAATTCCAAATAAAAGAAATGAGACGCATCATTTATTCACGAGATTATAAATTCTCATATTTTTATCGGTAGAAATAATTTTTTTTTAATATAAATCAGAATGTTAAGATCAACTTGTGCAATATGCATGCAGTAGAATTTTTAGCTAACAAGTTAATCCTTTTTTAACTCACGGTAAAGTTACTAGTTGACGGGTCTTAGGAGAGTAATTAATCGAATCTATTTGTCATCACGAAAGTCGGCAACAACGTAATTGATATAGTGGCATCAAAAAAAGATAAAAAAATGTATCATAGTCATGAGAAGAGGTCCTCGTCACCATCTACGTAGCATTAGCGGCAACATAATATTAAATTCACTATTTACTCGTATATATACAAATCCATATCGTAGCCTCTTTACCAATCTCATCAAATATCTTACTAGCTATAGCTAGCACCTGAGGCCTGAAAGACTCTTTGTACTATAGTTATAATGGTATAGTTAATTCTCCTTTTCTTTTCTCTTCTTTTCATATATTTCTTAGGGGGTGTTCTTTTTTAAGGTTTGAATAGAAAATTTGATCTAAAATTTATTTAGATGAGAAAAAATGTCGTAACAAAAAGATTGAATTGTGATTCAAACCTAAAAAAAAAAAAAAAAAAACAAAGCCCTAATTTCTCCAACTTATAATGAATTCTTTTGATGCGGTGTGTCTTAAAATCCTAATCATATTAATTCTTTCCGTTTGAATTACAGGATAAGAAATTACCTGAGATTGTTGAAGGAAAGGTGGATTGGAAGGGAAGAGTGGCTATAAAGTATAAACATGGAGGAATAAGAGCTTCTTTGCTCATCCTAGGTAATTAATTACATTCTTCATGCATATCGCAAAGAGGTGTGATTTTAATTTTTCCGTTAAGCGTGCATGGAAATTATTTCATGTGTGTGTGTGTGTATGTTCTTTTCATTTGATTTTTCTAAGCTTGATATTATAAATAAAAGTTACAATTAATTTTATAACCATATAATTGAGCAGCCAAATTAGATATCTTCTCCTTTTGTCGAACTATTTGCGACACGTCCAATAAATGGATTAATTTGCACATATTTTTCTTTAACATTCATTAATAAACTCCAATATTATGGTTTATAATATCGTCTTATCATAATTCAATTAATAGATATCATGTGTTGATATGTACAGCAACATTCGGATTCGAGAACCTGGCAACTTTGGGACCGGCAGTGAACATGGTGACATACTTTATTGGGCTGCTGCACTTCGGCGTCGCAGATGCTTCTAACACTCTTACTAACTTCATGGGCACTAGTTATATTCTCAGCATTGTTATGGCCGTTTTCGCGGACACATTCGTCGGCAGATTCAAAATTACAGTCGCCGGAGCATGCCTTGAAATTCTGGTCTATATTTTACATCCTTTTCCTATATAAAGTCTACAACATACAAAATAATATATCGATTATCAAAAGAAGAAACAAAACATTATCTACGGGTTAAACTCATTTTTAGTCCTTTAAATATATAATTCAAAATTCATTTTAATTTAAAACGACCTAAAATGAGTTTTCAACTTTTAAATTAGTCATTTCATCCATCCGACTATAAAAATCTCAAAGAGAAAAAGCACGGCTTCTTTCTCAACAATCACAATTAAAATTAATATATATTCATTTTTTCGTAAGGATGTATATTACTTTTAGTACTTTTAACACTCGGATATATAGATGCGAGAAATAATTTGAAAGGAACTTGTCCTGGTCATGATTAAATTAAAATTGACTATAGTTTGGACACTAAAAATGCGAATATCATATATATGTACATGTAGGTGTAACGTTGCATTTTTTAAAATATTGCAGGGACTAGGGTTGCTTGCAATACAAGCCCACTACCCCAGTCTAAAGCCAGCACCGTGCAACGCCTTCGATCCAACAGCTAATTGCGAGAAACTCTCCGGCAGCCAGAAGGCGCTACTTTTTATCGGTCTATACTTGTGGGCCATTGGTGGCGGAGCGACAAAGGCTGGTTTGCCGGCACATGGCGCCGATCAATTCGACGAGAAAGACCCGAAAGAGGCGAAGCAGATGTCCACCTTCTTCAACTCGCTGTTGCTCGCCGTATGTATTGGTGGTGCTGTTAGCATAACTCTCCTAGTCTGGATCCAAGATAATAAAGGCTGGGACTGGGGTTTTGGGGTCTCCACAATAGCCATGATCTTGGCTGTCTTTTTATTTGTTGCAGGATTGCCCATGTACCGCCTGCAAATTATTGGAGATCCTACTAACCCAGCTGCTGAAATTATACGGGTTTGAGCTAAATTAATGCTTCCTTTTTTTTTTGTTGTTGTTGTTGTTAATCTTAGTAATTATATATTATAACAAATGAAAAAATATATATATATGGGTTCAACTAACTTTATTAAAATGCATAGCTATTCAAATATGATATATGAAAAATATACCATCGTTATTAAACACTCAGAATCGACTCCTATATCTTCTTAATTATATGTATTGCTTTTTCACGTTCCTTCAATAATATTATGCCATAATAATTAAAATACCCTATTAATTAAAATTTTATATTACGTTAATTAAAAAGTCATGACACACGACATGATCTTATTGAGGGACATGAATAAACACCACAGTTAATATAAAATAGGCTACATGTAATCTCTGGGATTGGGACATACCTTCCATGAGTGAGTGACCTAACATGGAGTCAGCTAGATTTGGAATATATATATATTTTTTCCTTCTCCAATTGTGCTTATTTGAAGGCATACATATTATATTCGGAATATTCCGAGTATAATACATTAGTTCTCTACTTTTAATTTTATATGGTTCAAATTTTAATCTCTTTCATATTACGATTTGATTATTTAATGTTGACATTAATATAAAACATATTGAATATATAGTTCACAATAGTTGACTTTTTTTGGTTGCTTATTTCTGTCTTTCAGGTATTTGTTGCAGCCATCCGCAACAGGAACCTTAGCCTTCCCGAGGACCCAACAGACCTCTACGAGTTAAACAAGGACAAAGAAGCTGCTCTCGAAACCGAATTCCTTCCTCACACTGATACTTTCAGGTTCATTTTCAACTCTCACTACTAGAAGAAAAAATACACACACACACCGGTATCGTCAACGCGTCGAAAACGCTCTCCAAGCATCGGGGAAAATTTTTTCATGACGCCAAAGTAGCGTTGCTAGCTTATAATTAACTAGTTTTAGGTAGGTTAAAGAAATTTTAGACGTGTTGACCGAATTAGTACGTATAATTTTTCTAATCCCATTTGATGTCACTTATTTTTCGTGTGTTGTGAAATGGGATTATATCGTTAGTTCTTTAAAAAATGAAAATTAATTGACCAAAAATATCCACCCATTACCAAGAAAATTAAAAACCCATTACCAAGAAAATTAAAAGGGGGTTTTTTTTTTCTGATTGAAATTAAAGGGGATATTCTGATTCATGCATAGAAAGTAAATACCAGAAGACATGAACAAAAGACCCTTCAAATTTCTTCTTGACATAACATTTAATATACCATATATTTTCATCTTACATGCATATACAAATACATACGTGATCCATTTCAGGTTCTTAGACAAAGCAGCAATAATCTCCGACGTTACCTACCAACCAGAAACTTCGCCTCCAAATCCATGGCGACTCTGCAGAGTAACTCAAGTCGAAAACGCCAAGACCCTTCACGGGATGATCCCGATCTTCGGCTGCACAATCATCATGACTCTCTGCCTCGCTCAGCTCCAAACATTCTCCATCCAACAAGCCCAAACCATGGACAAATCCATAAACTCCAACTTCGAAATCCCCGCGGCCTCCCTCCCGATCCTCCCCGTCGCCTTCCTGATCGTCATCATCCCGTTCTACGACAGAATCGCCGTACCTTTCATCCGAAAATTCACCGGCGTCCCCACCGGCATCACCCACCTGCAGCGCATCGGCGTCGGCCTCGTCCTCTCCGCTATCTCCATGGCCGTCGCCGCCATTCTCGAGGTCAAACGCAAGGCCGTCGCCCGCGAGCACAACCTCCTCGATGCGAACCCGAAAACGCAGCCTCTGCCGATAAGCATCTTCTGGCTGTCGTTTCAGTTCTTCATATTCGGGATCGCCGACATGTTTACCTACGTGGGGTTGTTGGAGTTCTTCTACTCCGAAGCTCCCAAGGCTTTGAAGTCGCTCTCGACTTGCTTTCTGTGGTGTTCAATGGCGCTCGGGTATTTCTGCAGCACGGTTTTGGTGAAGATGGTCAACCGAGCCACCAAGGGGATTACGAGAAGTGGGGGTTGGTTGGCTGGGAATAATATAAACAGAAATCATTTGAATCTGTTCTATTGGTTGCTTTCGATTCTGAGCTTGATCAATTTCTCTGTGTATTTGTTTGCTGCGTGGAGGTATAAGTATAGAGCTCAAATTAGTCCAGTGGTGAAGAATGGTGATGATCGTGAGGAGAAAAGCAAGGCATAGTTAGAGAGAGAGAGAGAGAAAAGGGGGGAGAGAGAGAGAGAGAGAGAGAGAGAGAGGTAGTGAGAGGGTGAGAGAGGAAAAGTGATATTCTACATGTGGAATGAAAATCAGTAGAATTTTTATTTGGTGTATATGAATGTCTCGCCTGTATAATTAGTTTGTTTTCTTTAAGTTGGATTAGTGATTGTATTAGGAAGGTAATTGGGAATAAAAGGAATATTGTTTTCTTCAGGTTTTTTTCGTTTGTTTTTATAAGTTTAGCGTTATCGTGATGAATTTAATTATTCATATGTCTCAACGGTTTATATCTCTGTATTTTTTTGAGTGATTTCTGTTCAGATTTATAATTTCTAAGGACCAGATTGTGAAAATCTTTGCAAAGACTGATATAATAAAAAAAAAAGGTTCTCTATCAATCAAAACAAAGTGCATTTTGAAAGACCTAAGCATACATGTGTCTTGTTCACTTCGCGGATTCGAGTTTTCAATTCGAGCTGAGATGTGACATTTTTTGAGAGCTTTTCACTATAGCAGAAAAAGTTAGATGTGACATTTTCTGAGAGCTTTTTACTGTAGAAACCTATAATTGAAAACTCGAATCGGTGAAATGAACGAGGCCCATATCTCAGTACCCTAATAATGACCGCTTCCTACAGTGGGTTTAAATGACCTGATCAAGGTGAAAAGTGTATGCACACTACGGTCCCGTTTATTTCACCGATTCAAGTTTAGAATTCGAGTTTTGCTACAATAAAAAGCTCCCAGAAATAATTACATCTAACTTTTTTACTACAGTAAAAAGCTCTTATATAAAGTCACACTACAACTATTTACTCTATTTGCAATGAACTTATTTGCGACGACATAACGTCGCAAATAATATTCGTATGACAGGAGAATGTTACCGTCGCTAATAGTGCACAAGTCGTCGCAAATATGTAGTTGGCGGCAAATGTTGTCTGGCGCCAACGTTTGCTGCCCAAATAATAATATTTGCGACGACTATTCGTCGCAAATAAAGAATTATTTGCGACGACACTTATCGTCGTAAATAATAATTCATTTATTTTTTGTTCCTAGAGATACAAGAATGGGTCGGCCCAGCCCGTTCACCTTAGGCCCACGCAGGCCGCGGGCCACCGGCCGGGCCAGCCCAGCCCATGAATTTTGTGGGCCGGGCCGGGTTGGCCCGTATAAGAATGACTTCAACCCAGCCCATACCACGGGCCAATTTTACGTGGGCCAGGCTGGGCCGTGCCGCGGGCCAAGATAGGTTGTGCCATGGGCCTTGAATGGGCTGGCCCACTCAAGGCTCATCTTGGCCCATCTAAGCATGCAATTTTTAACTTTTTTATTTTTTAATTTTTAAACAAGTTAACAAATATATAAGTTTGAATAGTCAATGAAAATATGAAAAGAGATATTTTATTTACGATTACCTCATTAAATAAAAACCTTTCTAAAGAGAACCCAGTGGGACAAAACCTTGGTAAAGAAAAAAGAGTACAATCAGGATAATTATGCATAAATGTTGACAAAAACCTTGGTATGCGTGTAGATGGGCTGGGCTAGGTCGGCACATTATGGACCTAGGTGGGCCGGGCTGGGCCAGCCCATCATGGGCCTAGACGGGCTGGCCCAGCCCGGTCCAAGCTCGGGCTGGCCCATGATTTTTCATGGGCCGTGCTGGGCCGACTCATGGGTCGATATATGTTGGTCCACCCTAGCCCACCAATATTTATGGGCTAGGCTGTGCCTTGAACAGTGACGGGCCGTGTCGGCCCGGCCTGTCACTGTGTCAGGATGGGCCTAGGCCGGCCCACGGGTCCCGACCCATTGTTGCATCTTTATTTGTTCTCCTAGTACAAAGGCGGTCAATTTGGCGATTCCCAAATATTATTTACGATGACATTAATATGTGTCATTGCAAATAGTTATTTTGAATTCCCTCGCAAAAAAATGGCGGGAAAATTAGGCGGTTCCTAAAACGTAATTACGACGACAACGAATGACGTCGTCACAAATAATAATTCCATAACATTAGTATAAATATTAAAAAATTAAGTTTTATTTGCGACGACAGATGTCGTCGCAAATAGTTTTATAAGTTATATTTGTGACGACATTGTCATCACAAATAGTGTTATTTGTCATCGTAAAAAACACTGTCTATATACCCACGACCTGAGCCTCCTCCTCTATTTTTTCTGATCTCTCTCTCTCGGCCTCTCCCAAGCTTTCCGACTATAAACCCTAAAACCTCGCACTATTCTCTTTTAAATCCTCACCAAATCAACATTTATCATAAGTTTTAATCATTTTAAGTGTTTTTTTCATCAAAAGATGTATAAAAAATACTCCCTCTCCTCGCCGCCTTCCTCAGCCGCCGCCCACCTTCACCATTTTCAGCCCCCGTTTTAGTGGGTTTGAACTTTGTAAGTTTTTTTACCCATTTATTGTATTTTTTAGTTTAAAATATTTGGGTTTTTTGTTGTTAGAATTTTAGATTATAGATTTTACATTTTAAATTTTGATTGGTAGATTTTAGAATTAGTATATAATTTGAAGTTTATATTATAAATATTAAAATTTTTATTATGAATTTTGAGATTATTAAAATTTGGTAACAATTGTGTGTGAATTTTTTAGGATGTTATTTTATGAGATATGCTTGTAATTTGATTTAGGTTATGATTAAAAATTTTGATGACTTGTCTGGGTGGCACATCTTGCAGTTATAGTGTGTCGAAATCCTTTAAAAGCTAATTTTTTACAGGTTTGAATTTTTAGATAATAAGAAAAATAAGTCGTTATGCTGCCGAAATTTTATTAAAATTTCATTAATAAAATTTAATTATACTAATAGAGTCGTGATGTCCGGCCCAATAGCTACATGCGCCTGCTTTGCAGGAGGATCACAGCCTCCACCCGATCCGACGAGACTCCCAGTCAATTGTCAGTCACGTTTTATATTCTATAACACATGAACGATATTTTTTATTCGGCGAATCCTATATAATCAAATTTCGTTATTTCTATTTTTTTATAGTTCCAGAGAGTGAACAACCTCTATATTGATTAAGAAGACAAGGACGAGAACGAGGATGACGATGCTACTAATTTAGGAGATTAAAATATATGTTTTTATTTTTTTATTATCAACACTTTGTAGTATTTATTGATTAATTTACTTTTTAAGATTGACCTTATTATTGTGTTGACTATTTTATATCAATTATATTGCTCTATTTTATTATTAAATTTTCTTCAAATTTATATCCTTATTAATTAATATTATTAGGAAAGTACGGAAAAAAGAAAATACTATTTGCGACGACATATCTAAAGTGTCGTCGCAAATAGTCCACATTACTAGCGACGCGGTTTAGTCACAAAAAGTTTTAAAGACTTTTGCAACAACACTATATTGTCATAAATATGTTATTTGCGTCAGATTTTTTGCGACATGTCATCGAAAATAAAATATTTGCGACGATAAATCAGTTATTTACGATGACATGGCATCGCCGCAAATGAGCTTACTTGTTGTAGTGTCACATATGAACTCAAATTAAAAACTCGAATCAGCGAACTAAACGGGCCCTAAATTTCAACCATAATACATATATGGCTCTTTGAACAATACAACTATAATTTATGGAAGCAGAAACTGATAGCCCTTCGGTAAACTAATACCAAAATGTTTCCGCGTACATAAGTAGAAATCCTATGACAAAAAGTTCACACTATAAATTTATGACTAAATACATATTAATTATAAGGTTGTCACTAAGTATGTTTTAATTTGTCACATTAAAATATTGTGAATAAAGGTGTTACAAAACGTGTTGTGATTCAAGGTTCATTTTTAACATTTTATTTTAAACGCACGCACACAAGAACTATAGGCTATGGCGCCTAAACTATTATATAGGAATCAAAAATGGTTGAGACATCTAAGAAAAATGATAAGAAATATCAATTTTATTCAGTGGCTCTACACATCATTCCCAAGTGTTAGTACCCTCCATTTGGCAACAACATTTGATAAGCCGCAGCCACCTCATCTCCCCATGCATGTCTACGTGCAACCCTCAAAACCCTCCACGTTTTCTCCACTCGACACTAAAGCCTCTTCCTTATGAACACTACCAAAATCTACACTTTATATATGCATAGATACAAATATGTATCCCTTGCAAATTAATAAACAGAAGCTTGTTGTTTGATATTACATATACACACAATACACAACAATATTACATTATAGACTTATATGGCTGCAAGTGACACGATGCCGTCGCCGATGCCGGCCGGCGGAGACGCAATCCCGCCGGGGAGACCGATGTCGACGGAGCAACACTTGTTGGACAAAGGAGCTCAGATGATGCAGTCTCTTAAGCCGGCGAAGGAGATGAAACAACACGTTTGCACTTTCGCTATTTACAGCCACGACATGACTCGTCAGATCGAGACTCACCACTACATCACCCGTCTCAACCAGGACTTCCTCCAGTGCGCCGTCTACGATTCCGACCGTTCCGACGCCCACCTCATCGGTAAATATTAAAACGTTGTCGTTATAGTACACGCACCACCTATTATTAATAGATGGGTCCCGCAATAAGGGATGATGTGTAGTATCAGTGGTGTGCTAATTAATCTTTTTTAGGGTTAAGTCTCCTTTTCTTTTGCAGGAGTGGAATACATCATATCGGATCGGATGTTTGAGAATTTGTCTCTTGATGAGCAAAAGCTTTGGCACTCCCATGCTTATGAGGTTATATTATATATGCTCTTATATATGAGGGTGTAATTAATTTGGTAGTTAATGATATAATTACTAAATAGGGGGAAATCAATTTATTTGGATATAATTGCTCTTGCTGCAGGTCAAGTCAGCCCTTTGGGTGAATCCCCGAGTTCCAGAAATGTTAGGAAAGCCAGAGCTCAAGGATATGGCCAAAACCTATGGCAAATTCTGGTGCACGTGGCAGGTTGATAGAGGTACACATATATATAACAACAACTATCAAGTAATCCTTTGTATTACTTTTGACTCAAATTATCAAATTTTTAGTACTCAAGAGTTATCCCAAAAAGGAGGAGTAACTAAGAAACATGTCATTTAATTATGACTTAAGGTTTCAACCAAAAAAAAAAAATTCACTTAAAAGGTGTACCGCTTGGCGACGATTATTGATTAGGCCACAAAAGGGAGGGGAAAAAATAAAGTGCGTCGATGCTCTTTAACTATATACACTTTATTATAGGCTTGTACATAAATCATAATACTGTTAACCAGGCGATGCGCTTCCTATCGGTGCGCCGGCGTTGATGATGTCGCCGCAAGCGGTGAGCCCGGGAGTGGTGAAGGCGGAGCTGGTGATGAAGAGGGACGAAGAGTACAACATATCGACGGAGGCGCTGAGGCAGTCGAGGGTCGAGATCGAGGAGCCCGAGTGGATCAACCCGCAGGCCGACTACTGGAAGCAGCACGGCAAGGGCTTCGCCGTTGACATTCATCCCACTGAGATGAAGAAAAGAGCACCGTTTCCTTGAATATTATATGTGTGCGTGTATATATGTACAAGTACATAATAGTGGTTGCTTTGCTTCTTAGGTGATGCCAATAATTGCCTTTTATGTACGCCTTTTGGGTTGTGAACAATCATACGAGATGCATGCATAAATATATATATATATATATATATATATATATATATATATACATATATGTATAATATAGTCTTGTATTCTTGGTTTGCTCTACCTACAAGTGAAAAAATGGCGTAGAAATTAACTTAGAGCGATATATATATATATATATATATATATATATCTATATATACATACATATACATATATGAATGTATATGCGAATGTAAATTTGTGAAAGAAAGCATAGATGTAAATGTGTGCTTAAATGTCTTAGGTTAAACGTATTGTTGCTCTCGTAATTTGCAACTTTCGCTTTTGATATTGTGTTTTTTAATCAAGCTGTTACATTTGTCTGATCATATTCGAGCTTATTGCAAATGTACAACGGTAATATTATTGTATTATAAATATAGTCTATGGGGGACGTACATTACAAGTAAATATGTATTTTTTGTTCTTTTAAGGGATATGAATATTGTTGACCGCGAATCTGGCACAACGAACCGAACGTTGTAGGAAATTTAAAGAGTACTTCACCTTCAAGGCAAAAATACACCAAAATGCGCTATGGTGTTTGATCGGACACCAAATTCTATTTCCAACTTAAGTTTTGTCGGTATGTGTATGCGTAACTTTTTATTATTAAATAACGTGGCAATTTTTTAAGCAGCTATCAATAAGATAATTACCAATTAGTCCAAGCTTTACAATTTCTCTCTCTACTTCCAAGTCAACTATACATATTACAATGAAACAATCTGGTCTTTTCCATCCTATAGTAACCCGGTAATCTATTGCTTTTAGCTCCTCCTCTCATTTTGACATACTCTCCAATTAGATTATGTTATTTGCGGTGGTATACAAACATGTGTGTGCGCGCGTGCGCGCGAAGAATTATCTTAATTGGTATACTACAAAAAGAAATCATATATTTAGCGCGTACACACACACAAAGAAGAATTATCTTAATTGGTATACTACAAAAAGAAAGCTTCATATATTAAGCTTTCTAATTTAGCTTTTCCAAAAAAAAAAAAAAATCAATTTTAAGTGCCTTAGGGCACATAAGTGTAATATGTTCCAAAACAAACATGGGATTGCTAGTACTTATGGCTTATCATGTGATATTGAGGTATCACTTTTTGATATAGGAAAACATCAAAGAAATATTATTAACTTCCACAGGAATGGCGTTGAAAATCATACTTAAAAGTACAAAAGCAAATCAACATCGAGCCTCCTCCTGTTTCTGCTCCCTCCAAACTCCGACATTTCTCTTCACAATGTGAACTCGAAAAGCACAATCCCTTCCAATATTTATTTAGAATGGTACAGGGTATGCCATCTAATCATGACACATATTTAATTGATCAAAATATTCAAGAGAAGTGTACAAAAATATATATGACATCGGAAGATTTTTTTCGGAAGAGACAAATATAGAGGGGGGGTTCAATTCATGCAATAACAAAGGAAACATAATTAGTCTGAAAATAGAGAATCAACTTTCATCGAAGGGGAAAAAGACTATTTCCCTTATGAAAGATACAAAGTCTTCTTTTTCTTTATCGGTACTCATATTTCAGACGTTTGATTAATTTTTAAACGGTTTCATCTACTAATTCGGCAATACGCGCAATTCTCTGTATCATGCACTACAAATTTTTATCATCAACATTGAAAAATCCCAAACCTTTAAATGTTAATCGAACCATAGGGAAAACGTAGGACATTTTCTTCTTTTAAATTTCTTATATATAAAAAAAACCTACCCAGCTTCGTGGTGAACTACCTAGCTAGTAGAAACGTACTATAGCTAGACCTCTGCGCGAAACTCACGTGCATTGGGTTTGAAGAGGATGACGATTGTAAGAAAAGAGCATACGAGCTTGGGTGGAACCATTTAGATTTCTTTAATTAGTTCAAAGAAGAGTGTGTTGTAAATTATTTATAATCACGAAAACACTTGATTCATTTGATCAGTTGAATATATATAACTACAATTTCAATATCATATACACGTAGTATGCATATGCGTGATGTCACACACTTAAATAAATACGTATTGCTGAATAGAATTGGAATTGATATGTACGAAAAGGATTTTGGGAAGGATTATATTTTACAAAAGAATTTCAAATTTATTTCGTATAGATTTCTACAGCAAGTCTTGAAAAAATGAAGTAAACGAACTACTTGAAGATTTATGTTTTTTATTTTTTTATTTTTTTATTTTTTTTACCGTCAAATTTATATCAATTGTTATTCTATATACTTTTTTGTTTTGATATGATATTAATTATCTAACATAAGGAGAAATAAGGAAAAAAATATAAGGAGAAAAAATAAAAAAATAAAAAATAAAAACAATAAACATTACCGGTATGAGGGCGGCCAGCTACTGTATAGGGCTTGCTCCTACAAGTCCCTAAAATATTTAGTGAAGGTTAGATTTTATTTTTTTTAGTCAATAATTAATTACTTTATTGGTGACGATGTCAAAATTATTAACAAGCGTTTGAAATCTAATAAAGGGCCATTACAAAGCATGACATGGATGTAAACCCTTTTTTAAATGGATCACAGGTCACCATTCTTTTGTTTTCTTCTCTTTTTTTTTTTTCCAATAAATCAAGGTTGCTCTCTTATAAGATTTTTTTTTTTTTGGTTTTCGTTAAGTTTAGCTAGGTTTTTCTTTTTTCATTTTTTGTTTAGATGTGTGTAGCAATGTATTCATTTTCTTTCAATAAAATTTTCACTTAACCTAAAAAAAGGGTGCATCGTCTTTTGTTTTTTTTTTTTTTTTTTTTTGTAAATGACTCAATTATATTCAGTAGAGAGTTGAGATGTGACTTTATGTGAGAATTTTTTATTGTGATAAAAAACTTAAATGTGACTGTTTCTGATAACTTTTTACTATAATAAAATTTAAATTTTAAATTCGAATCGGTGAAATATGTCTGTCGAGACAAGGGAGGAAATCAAAACCTGTCATAATAGCAATGTTTCTCATGATAAATATTTGGGCCTTCGATCGTTTGTGGGAAAGAATAAACGGGCAACTTTTAATGCTGTTAAGGATTGCGTACTTCGGAAACTTAATGGTTGGAAGGGAAAACTTTTTTCAATGGCAGGAAGAGAAATAATGATAAAAGCGGTGGATCAAGTTACGGCTACTTTATTGAGTGTTTTCCGGATCCCAAGTTCTATGTCAGGAGGTGCAATCACTTGTCGCGATCGGTTAGGAAAATCCATTGGATTTGTTGGGAGAAATTGTGTCGTCTAAAGTTTGAAGGGGGGATGGGGTTCAGAGATATGATTGCTTCTGTGTGTGCTGGCCTTAACTTTGTTGGTCTTAGGGGCTGTGCTTTTGCTTGTTCTGCAAAAAAAGACGGATGGTGCTTTTTCTCCTTTCGTGGCCTGAGCCCTCAGTGCCTAGCGCTGTTGGAGGGGCTGCTCTTAGCTCAAAGAGTTGGTGTTGTTTGGTTCCGCCCCAATTAGTGGGCTGGAACTAATAATGGGCCTTAGGCCCAAGTTTCTTCTAAATAAAAAATTAAAAAAAAAACTAAGAAGCTTGCTTGGCAAGCTTTAGTCACGTGCAGCCAAAAGAAAAGCCAAGGTTTGGCTGGTCGTGAAGGGTAATCAGCGAACCCCAGAAAGAGAAGGGAAGAAAAGAGAGAGAAATGGTAGGGTTTTGATGCTTGTGTAAGATGATTAGATGGTGAAATATTGTCGATTTTGACTTAAATTTGACATGAAAAATTCTTGCGGTGAGCTCTTCTCATCTGCCGGATTTGATTTCTCATTTAGTCTTTTTATAGTACTCTCTTGAGTACTCATATTTTACTAAGACCTAAGCCTTTATTTAGTTATATTGTTATCATTCTTTTTTGATGATGAAGTCTATGTTGTTGGTGAGCCGAGAATACTGTTTCTTAATGATATTATTGTTGTGAGTATCTAATTTGTATCTAAAGAAAAATTTTATAATCTCATTGTTAATACAGTGAAGTTTTTAAGTGAAGTTTTTAAGTGGCATGCGAGTCTCATAGTTTTTCTCTCGATTTGAAAGAATTTTTCACATTAAAAGTTGATCTTATTTGATTTGTTATTACTTTGGTTGATTGATTTTGTTGATATTTTGCTTGAGATCCTCTTTTAATACACAAAAAAAAAAAGAAAATTTTATTAGGTGTCTCTATTCACATTGCAGAGGTGGATGCAATGAAATTGGCCCAAGCCATTAACTCTGGGCCCACGTTAGCTGATGCAGGAGTAGTGGTTTCAGACATTATTACTCTTTCTTTCAAAATACCTTGGTTGGAAGTGTGCTTTCATTGCTAGGGAGGGTAATGGTGTACTGTAGCTCATGCTCGTGCTTCCTCTGTTGTTCTTCATCCTGATGGTTTTCTGGGCATTGATGTAACGCCTATCTTTGTATCTCCCTTTGTTTTAGCGGATTTGGCTATTTAATAAAGTTTAATCACCACAGTTTTATTAAAAAAAAAAAGGTGATCGACCCATCTCAATTATCTTTGTACCCTTTCTTTTTATATTGGATACTGATAACATACGGTAATTGAAAAGAAAATCCACAAAATAAATAATAATAATAATAAAATTGGAGCATCAAACCCTGCAACCTTTTAGTTCAACGACCTCTACAAGTTGAGGAATCATATTATTAATGTCCATATTGATTCTTGTTCCAACCTGTAAAAGAAACCCTTTTTGTTGTTACAACCTGATCATTTCCCCATCATATTATGGAGTAAAGTCCCAAATCCGACACATGGACCATGTTATTAATTATTGTAACATTGTTCGCACGTTCATATTGAATAACTAATGAAAGAAATCACAAATACCTGATTTGATAGATTTAAATGCCTGATTGGAGG